AGGTTTTTGGATAATATTTTCATTTTATTTTCAGGTATACAGTTTTGGTTTCCACATAATGGAGATATTGGAGATACTCATTATCTGTTTCTCCAGGTTTTCTGGGTGTTCTTGATTTTATTCTATAAACTATATGTATATATTGGTTATAGTCTGTTTAAAATTTACATATACTAAACTGGTTTGTATTTTATTTTTTTTAAGATCTAATCCTTTCAAAAATCTGTGAATTTTATAGATGCTAAGTTACGTATGCGCCGTGGTTTTGGGTGGGATCGTGGGACTCTGAATGGTTATTTGTAAACTATATTATATTATTGATCACTGGTGTTCAATTTTAAATTTTAAATAAAAAGCATTGTCGTACTGCTGGATATGGTTGTCGTTCGTCACTTTTTTTTCTATTGTTTTCTATGTTTGGGTTTAGATTGTTTGTTTAGGTTTAGCGGTGTGATGTGGTGTGTGTGTGTCTCCAGGATTATTCGGTCACAAAGTGCGAGCAATAGCAATCCTTTGAGCCCTCCTCATCCTACCGAGGGTTGATCTTCGCTTGTGTTTTATTTCGTCGGCATTAGAAGATCGGAATCAGAACATGCATTCCCAATCTCCGATGACCATACCACTCACTGGAAACACCAGCAAGCGTCTGGATGTGTCCGCAATTCCCACCATCGCCCTTCGATCTACAGATATAGTACATTCTGTCTTTTTCACATTTAAATTGTTACTGTTTTCTTTCACTGTTCATGTTTTTTTATCCTTGGTTCCAAACTCCAGCCCGAGCGTCCTAGAGAGCATGGTAAAGATGGCATCGGGGTCATAAGTGGCCCCAAGGAGCAAGCTTCTGCAAGCTCCTTTAGATCTCCCATAACCTGCACGGTATTCTCTCATTTCTGCGTTATTATTTTTATTTTTTTTGGCATTCTGTTGATTCGGATTTATCAAGAACAAATTAAGTACGGACTGTGATTGCAGTCTGACCTCCGTAGGAGGTCTATGTACGAGAGAATGTATGAGGCAAAGGCCAGTGTGAGCCCTTTTCACCCATCCAGAAGCCGCTCCCATCTCCCTACAACAGCACGGTACTACTGATTCTAATTTCTTTATGTTTTACGTTCTTTTTATTCATAACTTAAAACTTGGTTTATATTTGCATAATGATCGAGGAAGAGACTAAAGCCAAAAAAGGTATGAGGCAGAGGGGCATGTAACATCGCGGAGGAGCATTCCTTCGAGCCCATTTCATTCATCCCGAAGCCCGACACACACAAGGTTTGGTACTCTTTTTGAAACCCTTTGTTATTTAAACCCCATTCTGATTTTGGTCTTTGTTTTGCAGCCTGAGAGATATATGTCACACCGGGTAACAGCCCTCCTATGAGCCCTGTTTATGGATCCATAAGCCGCTCTCCACCACCACTAAAATTTCTTTGTTAATAATGTTAAGTTAGGTGTCTGATGTTTTGTGTATTATATGTGCAACGATCCATATCGTTTTGTTTTTAATAAAGTGCAGTTTACGTAATTTTTTTATTTGTCTTTTTTTATTGTGTCGTCTTTAACAAATCCTATTATAATATTTGTTTGCTTTAATTCTTTTTATTTCTATTGTAGAGTTTCCGAAAAATCATCTCATCAAATTGGTTGGTATGTACGTACATTTTATTTTTGAGCTTTCTTGCATATTATATTTCTACGTTGATTTTTTTTTTCTTGTTTTTTTTAGTCTGCGGTATTTTAGAAAGATTTTTTTAGTCTTCGTTTGTTTCTTTGTGTTGGTTTATGGTTTTTAACATTTTGTAGTCTCGGCACAAGATCAGCTAATTTATCGATCTGCTACTGCGAACCAGAGCCGGTTGCAATAATGGTGCCTTAAATCTCCTCAACCGAGCTGATCAACGATATGCAGAATGAGGAGCTGGACGTGACTGTTGAGAGAGACGTATGAGCTTTACAAAGGCACAAGTGACGATTAAGGTTTCTTCTGTAGCAGCAAGGGACAATAATGATGTGGTAATGAGGGGGTTTAGGAGAAAGCAAAGTAATAATCATGCAGCAATAATCTATCTTAAACGTGTATGTAGTTTACATAAAATGATTTAAAGAGCTTTTCTTCAGTCAACTTATCTTTTTAAAATATTCATTACTTTCCTCTTTTCATTAAATATATATATGTGCAACATCTTTACATGGTTAAAAACAGTGACATGTCAAAAATATTAGGCTTGAGAAGGTTTTTTTTTGTACGTAGAAAAAAATTCTAGAAGAAGATAATTTTTAAAAAAATAACTTATCTATAGTTTCGTGGTGGTGTGTGATTAGGGAGAAAAAGGAAACGGGGGATTATGAGAAAGTTTTTCTAACTGTTTTAGAATGGTCATTAATCAAATGAGCGGATAAATTAGAAGATAAAGAGAATAATATGATAGGAACATGTGATTTCTTAAACGATTTGGTTACAGTAAAATTTGTTAGCATTGATATTAGAGAGTAAAGGTTTGTTCTTATGTATTCGACATTGGTTACCAAAATCAAGCAAACCCGGACAATTAGATTTTACATGTAATGTTTATGAGTCATTATTAAGTAAGTATATCTTGATGGTTATTATTATTGATTAGTATCTTTGATAAAAATTTTAAATTTGCAGTTTGATATCGAAAGTATATTGATTGTTTTTAGTATAGTAAACAATAATAATTTTCGATGACAGTGTTTCATGAGTTAAATTATATCTTATAGTAAGAAAAATAATTTTTGTATGTAGTAAAAAGATATGTAATGTTAAGGTGGTTTTTAGAAAAAAATTAATAAGTAAAATATTGTATTCAAATTCTATCTAGTATTAACTTCAAATATTATTACATTTTAATAGTTTAATAATATTAATATATTTAAAAAAATTAGGAAATTGATAAGAATATAACAATACATGGACGGTGAAGCCCTAATATTTTAGATCTTGATATACACGTATATAAATAACCCATGTATTGTATCTAATGTCTGTAAAATCATCAAAAATTGAAAAGTAAGTTGAGCTATGATTAAAAGTTATTGTGGTTTATTACTTTTTATTTCTTAAATAAATTGACTTAATTTATTTTTAATGATATTTATCTAATAATATTGGTTTTAGTTGAAGTTAAAAAACTTATATTATATTTTATACCGTATGATTTAAAGCCCAATATTAAGTTGCAGTGATCTCATGTGATTTAGTTATAGGTTTAAATTTGCCAATATATTTGGACAAATCCAAATTATCATTGGCAAATATGTGATTCTTTGACGGCAAGCAAATTTTAATATTTATCTACTTAAAATAAATTAAAACTAAAAAAAAATCTGTATTAAAAATGATTTTGTGATTATGTATTTTGTTTGGGTTACAAAGAAGACAAGGTTTTTAAAGTAGATGGAGATAAGGGATCCAAAACAAAAACTATCGAAATAATACTATACCAACGAGGAGTAAGATTTGGAGCTTTTGAGTTTTGATTATGATTTGTTAACAATATACTTCGATCATGTATATTGGCACAGTTTGAAGAGGAAATATTATGTGACTACAGAGAGAGAGAGAGAGAAGAACTAGAGCAGCATCTAAAAGAACGCAATACTACATACAAGAAAGGTACGTTTTCTCTGCTTTTCGAAGCATATTGGTCCTCTTCGAATATTTAGCAACATTTTAAGGTAGAAAAGCTCACTGCATTTTTCAAAGACGTCTGGAAGGTTGATATCATAGAAAACGTTACTTTTCAGTCGCATAGATGAGGATGCCACTTTTTAATCTTTTAGTGTCAAACCCATTTGGTTGGAAACTCAATGTAGAGATAAAACCTTGCTTCATTATACTCACGATTAAAGTCCATCCAACATTCGAGTTTTGTTTTAGTTATATTTGGTTTAGGTAGGTGGATTGACATAATTGTTATTCAGTAAACTTTGAGTTAGGGTTTGGTTTATTTGAAAATCATGTGAGATTTGATGATTTATTATATAATTTGGATGCGATATTATTAAAATTTTATATAAAATATATGGCTTTCTTGAATGTTTTGGGATCATTGTTATTATCAATGTATTTCATTGTTATAAAATTTTATTGTCTAGGAAACGTGTGATCGAATGTTATGCAATAGGGAAATTGGTTGAAGATTTTATTTTGCGATAGAACCAGAATCGCGGAGCAGAAGTAGTTTGTGTCCTAAGGTGGTGGAATATTAATAAAGTACATTAAGCTATTTCTGATCATTTTAGGAAAGTAATATGTGTTGTATTGTGACTTATCTTTTTTTTATTCTTTCGTATAAGCATTATAATTATCATCGCAAAGAAGTAATATTGTGAGTTTCTTCTAAATGCAAAAATCCTTGATATTCAACATTTTCGTGATAGGTAATATTACTATATACAAGATAAATCTTTATATTAGTTATCGTAACTTTAATCATATTGTGGATCTAATTGTAAGTAACGATATGACGAAGAAATTTCAACAGCAAAGTGTGGTTCGAAAGATCAATAAATTTTATTATCTAATGCAAGTCTTATAAAAAAAGATTACGATTACTCCATTTACATTTTGAAAATGTTATTGGTTTTACGTGTTGCATATTAATATAACTTGCTCAAATGTATGTTTTATTTTTTGATGTCAAAACTTTTATGTATGTTTTTAACTGAATGCTATTTTACAATATATTTTTATAAATATTTTTTTTATTTTTTAAATTTATGTTAAACAATTTTGATAAATAAAAAAATACATGTATGTCGGCACAGTTGCGCAGACCAACAACTAGTTAATGTAATACACTAAAATATAATTTAATTATTGTTATGAATTTATAATTGTTGTTGGACTAATCGTTAAAAATATTTTTGAACGAATTTTTTAGTATTGAAAATATTTTTTTATTATTTTATTATAAACATTAAAAACTCATACCAAAAAATATATTTATAAATTAATTAATATCTCTATAAATTAATAAATTTTCAAAATTTTAATATTATTAATTTATAAAGATTTTACTATATATGGCATCATTTATTACTTAACTAATTTGTAGAGATCTTGTTTATCGCTCAAGAAGCTTATTGGAAGAGAAACATCAAAATGCCCAAAAGCCAAAACCATGACTTTAACAAAATAAATCTTTGAACAGAAATATTGTCCAAAAGATATCAGCAAAACTCAGAAGAAAAGTTCCCCGTAAACTTTCTCACGCGTTTGTTTTCAACATCTCCTCGTTGCTTTTCTTCTTTCAAATTATCGAGGTACCAGAGACGCTGTGAACATTTCAGATTTTTATTGATTGCAGCATAACAAACCTTAACAAAAATAAAGCTTACACTGGAGGAGTTTATCAGGTCCCCATTAGATAGTGATACCCTACACAAATGATTAAGGTTAATTAGTTCTTAAACCCCTGCAAAATCATTCATCTAAAGTGCCAAAAAGAGGGTTCTAAATTCATCGTATATTGATGCAGCGCATCTTTTAATCAAACACGATTATCGACTTATTGTTTTCACATGACAGGAAGAATTGCAAACCTCGGGAGGATTAAATTTTGCTCCAAGATTGCTGAGCTTCGCATGGCTTTCAGCGTAATCCTTGAAGAATGCATCTTGATCTGCAGCATACTTCTCGGCATAGACCTGCAATTGCATCACAGTTTTAGTTTTAAAGGCAAAGACTCGGCAGGTTTCTTTATATAAATATGTTTAAACATAAGTTCTTTTTTTACCTTGAAAGAAGGATCTTCAAAGATGGCAGCATCAGTGGGCAGGACAAGGAGTTCTTCATCTCTCTTTTCCTTGATTTCCTATTATAATGATAATGATATTAATAGACATAAAGAAAGCACTTTCATTTGAAAGTGTGACTAAAGAGTTCTGAAACGCAACTTTGAAGTAAGAATTGTCAAACTTCAACCACTCTGGTGTCCATGACTGTCCTCCTGGTTCGCCCGGTCCCTCTTTCTATAATCCGAAAACATATAGTAAGAAGTAAAAAATCAAGTGTTCTAATACTATTCCATTTACTTTTTGCAGTCCCAAAAATGACAATTTCGATCAACAATAAGTTATAGAGCGAGACAGGAAATAATACCGTGTACTTCGTCTCTGGCTTCCCCCAACCACTACGTTCTGGTCTAGATCTTCCTAAGGTGTGAGCACCAGATAATGCAACTATGTCCTGCAGTTACAAAATATGTCGATATTGATCTTTTACTTATTGACCTTCTAAAACTTTGAAAATTCAACTGCAATCACCTTGTCATCTAATCCCATTCTGTAAAAAACTTCTCTTAGATGATTAGCGGGTGAAGGAGGACCAGCATCTACACAACATATAAGAGAAAACATATGATGTTTCTATTAATAAAATGTTGATATAATGATGTAACCAAAGAACATCCATATAAATTAGAGACTCAAATAAGAGGCAAAATACCAAGGGATGAGACGCTTACCAGGGAGCCTTCCTTCTTCAGGACATTCATTAGGTCCCGAGGTATCAACTCTTCCATATTTCATTGGTATTTTGGGTCCTCCGGCTTCCTGAATTTCAGAAATTTCAGAAAATTAGTTAAAAGTTTCTCTACAATTCTCGAAAGACTCATTTCCTAACCAACAGTTGAACTACTTTAGCGTCATACGAGGCATTCACTAAGGTGAGGTAATATTTCCGTCATAGTTCACCAATTTCCAACGCCGGTTTATTTTGACTCCCTCAGATGAACCAATAACAGTAAAATTTTCTGACTTTATATTGAAGCTCATAGCAGTCATGACCAGTAAAAGTAGGTTCAGAAATACTGACCTCTATAGCGGTAGCACTGGCCAATTGGAAAAGGTCAGCATACGAAATACCAGAGTACGTTTCTTTGATGTGCTGAATCAGGTTTAAAGCATTTACGAGACCTGAAAGCAATAACAAGCCTATAGTTAAACAGGGAAACAAACAAGTGAAAAAAGGCTACTCCTACGGTATATAACTATACCGGCATTAGCAGCATGCTTAAGCTCGATCTCGTATCTCAGACTCCCATTAGCTCCACCTCTCTGAGGCCACTCCTTGATGTTCTTGTTGTACGTGCCAGCATCATGCCACCCCAAGCGAACCTGTGATACCAACATAATATGCAACAAAGATTTACAAAGTAATTAAGAAAAAGAAACAATAAAACATAGAAATTCCTGAAAATCCTTCTCACTGTAAGTATCTATCCAAACAAATATTAATCAGCTTTCGGCCACAACGCTTCAGCTTTAGTGTTTTACGTAATTCCTTTCTCTCACAAACGCACTTCAATTATTGATAACGGGAATACATTGTTTGCATCATCTAGCCAATAAAGAACAGAAGTGCGAGTAAAAGAGAAACTAGATTCCTTTCGCAAGCATTCCGTGCTAACTATTATATAGAAAACTAGATTCCTGTCGCGAGCATTCCACGCTAACAAGTCCGCCTAGATATTCTTCTACTCAGAACACTTAATTACCTAATTAGTTATTTTGTATTACTATTAAGGACTCTGAAAATAGGAATCAGATAACCAATTAACAATTTCTTGAGTCAATAGACAATATTAATCAGCTTTGTCCCACAACGTTTCAGCTTAAGTGAGTTTAATCGTGATTTCTTATTTTATATGAAGGATTGTGAAACTAGGAAATAAGAATAGAGAACAATTCAACAATTTCTTGAGTCAATAGAGGAATAGATAATATGAATCAGCTATGTGCCATAGCGTTTCAGATTCAATGTGTTTAATCGTGATTCCTTATTTTGTTTAAATGATTGTGAAACTTAGAACTCACGAAGACATTAACAATTTCTTGATGTCAATAAAACACAGAAACGCACCAAAATTGGATGGCAGAACTTTGTGTTGAGAAGCTCTTTGATATCTTCTCTAGCACTTTTCAACTGTTCAGGATCCGTAGCTGCTGTACATTTAGTAGTTACGGAAGCCGAGCTTAAACTCCGATTCACCGACGCAACTTGATATCTCCTCTGAAATCCAGCAAAATTACGGGAGATAACAGGAATCGTCAGAATCAGATTCACCAAATAGAAATGAAGATTAGCTGTAAAAGATGGAGACTACCTGAGAGAGAAGCGGAGAAGAGACGAGAGATCGGGTGAATGAGAGAGACGAAGGTGAAGACGAGGAGGAAAGAGAGAGTCTGGATCTGGAGGAGGAGCAGAGGAGACGAGAAGAAGAAGAAGCACTGCGAAGAGAAGACATGGTGTTTTGAGGATTAAGGATAGTGTTGTTGAGTGTGAGAGACACACGCTCTGCCATATGAAAGCCGATTGGGTTTGTGATGAGGTTTAATTTTTGTTGGAATCGTAACGGAAGAGATTAAACGGCGATGGATACGGCCACGATGGAGGAGGTGTTAATTAACTTTTGTGAACTCTATCGTCCTTACATATTTACCCAAACGACAAAAACTGTTGACGTTTCCACTTTCGCACCGATTAGAATGTTTTTTTGTTAAGTTGCACTACCTAACAATGATAAGTTTTAAGATAATTGATAAGTAGTTAAGTAAGCAGGTAACAGTGTATTTCTAATTTAGAGAAACAAAAACCAAAGCCGAACTTAATATAAAGTTGGAACATTTACAAACCTGGACTTTTCGATTTTTTTTTTTCAACAAACTTCATATATTAAATCAAATTATATCAGTTTGGTTATTCAACTAATCCGATTCGTTATAATCTATATGAGATAAAAGTAAATTTTGTTTACATGCTCTTTTTGCAAGGCGATCAATGCGGACATTTTGTAAACAGGGAATAAATCGTAAACTAAAGGATTCGAATTTCGATCGCAAATCATCCAAGTAATCTAGCTCTGATGTGAAGGCGGGCCAATCGATTGGTTCGTCCATCATCTTTATCAAGTCTAAGTTATCCGTCTCGAAATCCACCGACACGCACCCCTTCTCTTGCAGGTACGACATTGCCCAAAGGAGGTCTTCCACTTCTGCATGAAGAGGCGATATGCACCTCCGACACCCCTTCCAGCCAAACCAGCTGCTTCCCAAGCCATCTACCTGGCAGATCGATCCAAGGAGGGACGTAGGGATGAGGGTCCGGGTTCCTGAATGCACGAGGGAAATCTCCTCGCCTTCTTCCTCCTCTTGGTTTGTCAACCTCCAGCTTTCTGCCTCGAGGGAGGCCGATTAGAACGTATCTGTCGGGTGGGTTACTTTTCCCTTAAAAACTTTTTCATTCCTCGCTTTCCAGATATACCACAAGATCCAAGGATAAATATCATTTTGGGGTCCGGAAGGACCCCTTTTCTTTGCTCCCCAAAATAGGAAGTCCATGTTTTGGTAAAGAGATGTACTCGGGAAGTAACTCGGAAGTGACGGAAATACTAAGAGGGTCCAAACTTGTATCGCCCAAGGGCATTCGAAGAGTAGGTGATTTATCTTTTCTTCTAGTCCTCCACACCTTGGGCAGATAGCTTTCACATTAATGTGTCGGTATTTGAGGCGCTCGCAAGTGGCCTCGCATCCAGATAAAGACTGCCACATGAAGTGCTGTAGTTTGCTAGGGGTTAGTATTTCCCATACGTGGCTAAGAAGGGGTGTGATGCTTAGTTCAAAGGCTCCTTGTAATTATTTGTTTGCCCGTAACGATCTTGCTTGATGGTATCCAGAATTCACTGTGTATGCTCCTGATTTTTATTGGTTCCATGCATATCCATCAATAGAGAAAACGCGACTCGGCCACAACCTTAAAATCAGGGGAATATCGTTTGGGTGGGATAAATTCACAAGGTGTTCCATGTCCCATTCTTTTGTAGCTTGTGTTATTAGAGTATGGGCCAGGAGTTGTGGATCTTAATGAAGATCCAGATTTGTGGGTCTTGCTGGCCTAGCAGGGATATCTGGGACCCATGGCTCATTCCACATTTCCATATTAAAGCTGATCATATCGTCTTCCGGAGGCCGCTACGTAGAAGAGGTTTTGCAGCCATAAGACTCTGCCACCCAAGTGATGGGAAGTACGTCCTGGGCTCGCCTAGCGGGTTAGATTGCCTAAAGTATCGTCCTCTTAACACCCTAGCCAGGAGAGAGAAGGGGAATTGGATCAGGCGCCACAGTTGTTTAGCAAGGAGAGCTAAGTTAAAATCTCGCAGGTCATGAAATCCTAATCCACCTAAAGCCTTTGGGGAGCATAATTTATCCCATGCAATCCAATGCATGCCTCCACTTTCTTGTTTTGAACTCCACCAGAACTTAGAGATCAAACTTATAAGTTTATCGATCAATCCTTTCGAAAGGAGATAGCTAGACATAACGTAGGTAGGGACTACTTGAGTGACCGCTTTGATTTGGATCTCTTTACCACCGATTTACCATTAGATTTTGTTTCAAACTTTTTGGTATTCTGTTTTAACAAATTTTGCTTTTAATATATATATAATTTGGTTCAGATACTTCAGCATAAATATATTTGTATTATTTGGATTGTTTTAAAATTAGATTTTGATTCGAGATCAAGAATTTTAGTTTAGTTCAATTTAAAACTTTTGTCAGGCAAAAAGTAAGATGTGTTATCTATGATTCATCTGTATTGGATGCAATTGAAATATATCAATCGGTTAAGTAAAAACTAGAATTTTGTTTTATTAGACTATTTTCAATGATTTACTATATTTTTTACTTTAAAGATTGAGTTTTTTTTTGAACAGAGTTTTTTTAAATTAAAGAAGGTTTTTGCTCCAATAGTTATTTTCATTTTCTACTCTAAAAAAATTATTTCAAAAATATTCTTATTTCTGTTTAGTTATTTTTTTATTAAACCTTTTTATTTTACAAATATATAAATTTTGATCACTTATTTAGTTTTTTAACAAAAAAAAATAATAATACAATTATGATTTTACTATTATTAAAAGCTTACCACACAAATAAAATTTTATTACATAACTAATTACAATTACTATTATAATTTTATTTAAATATAATAATAAAATATAATTTTATGTAGTAAGAAAATAGAAACATATTAAAAATGAAGGAGTATTTTGTAAAAAATAGTTTTATCCTAAAAATTGAGATTTTTATATTTAACTCCAAATTTAGAGTTACATAAAAAAATCTCTATTTTTAGAATAAAATATAGAGTATCATTGGAGATAATTTTAATCTGAAAATAGAGTTTAGAAGCAAAAATAGAACCTCATTAAAGATGGTCTTATAAAAAATGGATAATTGTAAGAAGGAATAAGATAAATAACACAATTTTTATCTTCTATATTTTTATTTGTGTCGCTAATGTGGCTTTTCCCCGTTCTGTCCTCTCCATTCGGCGCGCCAGAGGAGCAGGTGGGCGGAATGATGCATGCGTGTTCTGGGAAACTCGCTAACTGTCTGAGAACAGTACTTGAGAGTTGTTGGCCGAGCTAGCTTAGCCATGTCAGTCTCTAGGGTGGTTCACTATCCACATGTCGTGCCATCCTTGGAGGTGGTAAAATTGGTCCCAACAGTTGCCCCCGACGACTTCTCGACTGATTGGAAAATGAGTCGGGGAGTCGACTTCCTTTGGGTTTTCTGCACAATGAGCATAAGTTATCTGGTTCTCTAGCGTTCTGCCATTAAAGACAACACCTTGCTGCGTATCCTGTGGGTTAGAGAACTAGTCTGGGGGAAGCTAAATTTTTAAGGGTGGCATTTAAAACAGGGACTCACCCGAACCATGCCACACATTTCGATGGAATGCAGTACTGGTTGGGGGGTCCGAACATCAAGGGAAGTAGGAAAGATGGCATCGACTCCGACCCTGTCACGCATCGCAAAGGAGTGTGGTTCTAGTCGAATGAGCAAACGAAAGAAGGATATCAACTCCGACCTTATTTGTATATCCCGGGGGAGCACGTTATTGGTCGAAGAAATTATACTTCCGAGGGAAGCGAACCGCGTGGCAGCTTAATAGATATCAACTCCGGCTGTATTCGCATCCGGGAGAGTACGTTACTGGCCGAAAGAATTACACTTCTGGGGAAGCGAACCATGAGACGGTCAGACTAAATATATAAGAGAGACTCGCCCCATCTTCGCCACGCATCCGGAGGAGTACGCCGTCGGTCGGGGGAGTTAGGTGATGGGGTCCTACCCTGACTGGGACACGCATTTGGGAGAGTACAGTACTTGTCCAGGATAGGAGGATATTGACGCTCCTGGAGGAACTGATAGCTTGGCCACTAGTGGACATCTCTCCTGAGGGATTTTACTTCTTGTTTCGTGGGGCACTAGACAAGAAGTCGTCTTGCCCCCTCTCATCGGGGTCATGAGAGAGGTTATAGTCTTATGTGACCATGTAGATCGACATAAGACAACAACGCTGTTTAAAACCATCCTAAGGGCTAGAGATGGCACCGTTGAACAGATGAATAGATGTTCCCTGCGTTGCAGGGCGCTAATGCAAGGGGGGTCGCTACTCGAGTGCAGCTGGTGCGGAGTAGGGCATTTCCCGAGGGTGTTACCTCGACTCCCTTACTGCCTGGACACTCTTCACGTTGTGCTTACGCAGAAATTTCTTGGTTTTAAGAACATGCTTCTGACATACCCCGGAGGAAAGAGGTCAGGGAAATTATCAGGAAGAGAAAGCCTTTGAATAGGTGACCTCAATTACTGTGGTGCCTGAGTGGCAAGCGTGTCCTGGGGGGAGGGGGTGAGCGCGCTGTTTTGTCGCACGGCCCGCTGGAGGGGACTTGCGAGGAAGACCTAAGGGTCTGCGAGGTCAAAGCCTTAGACTCTCGAAGGAGGGCGAGCAAGTCCGCGGGAGAGCATGCTTGGGACGTGCGCTGTCCCCAGAGGGAGCAGACGCAGGAAGAGCCATAGGGGCCTGCAAGTCCGCGAGGGAACATCTAGAAAAGGTTTTTGAAATGAGTTACGCAAGTTGAAGGGTGAAAGTAGATGATATGTAAACGAGAAAGAACGTACCGTCGTGCGGGCGTGAAAGCATACAATCACGCAAACCGGAAATTACACAGTCATGCAAGCAAAATTTATGCAATCAGACAAGCAAGAAATCACACAATCATGCAAGGAAAAAATCACACAATCATGCAAGCAAAAAATCACACAATCATGCAAGCAAAAAATCACACAATCATGCAAGCAAGAAATCACACAATCATGCAAGCAAGAAACTAGACAATTATGCAAGAAAGAAATCACACAATCATGCAAGTAAGAAATTACACAATCATGCTAGTAAGAAATTACACAATCATGCAAGCAAGAAATCACACAATCATGCAAGCAAAAAATCACACAATCATGCAAGCAAGAAACTAGACAGTTATGCAAGCAGGGATGATGTAACCTTGCGGGCCGTTCATAAGCTGAGACTGTTCTCAAGACTGCCATGTTTCGTCCACGACCGCGGGTTCCATATGACCCGCTGTGGGGCTCGAGAAGCCCAGGCGGTTACGTTTGACCCACGCACGCAGACTTCGTGCAACCTCTCT